TCTAATCAATCTTTCATTCGCAAGCCAAAAATGTGCGGATTGGAGTTGAAGCGGGGCCACGGCCGTGGCACCGTGCCAACAGTGGTCCCACAACGAATCTCCGCAAAAGTTGGCAAATTGCCACGGACGGCATGTACATTTTGTTGCGTTCCTTGATCTTTTCCAAAGAGATTTAGTGCATTATTGTTTAGACCTATCCTATTTCTATTAAGTGTGAAGTAACTAGTAGGGAGGTAAATGCTGCGTACGTCGGAGAAAATTCTTTCTGTTTTTCTAAGTCCTGCCTGGTTTTCTTTTTGCTGATTTCTTTGCCGTAGTACTGTACAATAATTTGTTGTTAAACTGGAATACGCTCACTTTTTTTTGTTTTACAGCTACTTTTTGCAGCAACATTGGATAGGCCCAAAGTCACCATGAAAATCGAACAAGACCACGATTCCGTTGTGGAGGAGAAATCGACCAATGAGACGGTAACTTGTTGATTAGACCATTTGCATCGAACTGGGTATACTTGCCCTTTATATGAGTCGTTTTTAAGAGGGATGACATTTCAAGAGAGATCCAAAAAGCGACGATATAATTCTCGTAAGTTTCTGTACTATTGTAGTAGTCCTCCTTCTGCTCACTCTCATTTATTGGTTCCGTGCCGATATCAGAGTCCCGAATAGGCGGGATAAGTTCTGCATGCGTTATCGGAGTGGGTTTCTCCGAACGACATCTTACTTATGCACAAGCGCAGCCCTATGAGTATCATTTTTGCTTTTACTTAAATTTAATGGTCGTTCAACAATTCCTACATCAAAGTCATAAGCAACAAAACTATTACTAAAGTTATAAGTTAATGACCTTTGCTGAAATGTCAGTTGGGTGTCGAGGCATGGATATAAACCTGAACTTGCACACAAGATTTGTTGTTTACTGGGCACTTGTTCTGTGGCGCAGATGTTAACAGAACTTTTCTCTGGGTACGAGTGGGCACACTCAGCAATTGTGGAGTAATTGCAGTTGAAGAATCAACACGAATTCTGAATTTCAAGAAGTTTTCGAAGTCAAGAATTGCTCTGTTCTCGCTTAACTATAGATAAAGCCAGAAAGGGAGGTGGGGGGGGGGGGGGGGGAATCTGGGGGATTTAGCTTAAAAAG